GTGGGAGAGAGCCAAAGCATAAGAGACTCTTAAAAACTGAGAACAAACTGAGGGTTGATGGGGGGTGTAGGGAGGGGAGGGTGGGTGATGGGTATTGAGGAGGGCACCTTTTGGGATGAGCACTGGGTGTTATATGGAAACCAACTTGACAATAAATTTCATATATTGAAAAAAGAAAATAAAGATAGCCATCTATAGCCAGATGGCTAACAGACATGGAAAAAATGCTCAACATCAGAGAAATACAAATCCAATCCACAATGAGATACCACCTCAAACCTGTCAGAATGGCTAAAATTAACAACTCAGGCAACAACAAATGCTGGCGAGGATGCAGAGAAAGAGGAATGCTTTTGCATTGCTGGTGGGAATGCAAACTGGTGCAGCCACTCTGGAAAACAGTATGGAGGTTCCTCAAAAAATTAAAAATAGAACTATCCTACGACCGAGCAATTGCACTACTGGGTATTTATCCAAGGGATACAGGTACGCGGTTTCAAAGGGGCACATGCATCCCAATGTTTATAGCAGCACTATCAACAATAGCCAAAGTATGGAAAGAGTTCAAATGTCCATCAACCGGTGAATAAAGAAGCTTTGGTGTGTGTGTGTGTATATATATACACAATGGAGTATTACTCAGCAACCAAAAAGAATGAAATCCTGCCATTTGCTGCAATGTGGATGAAACTAGAGGGTATTCTGCTAAGCGAAATTAGTCAGTCAGAGAAAGGCAAATATCATAGGACTTCACTCCTGTGGAATTTAAGATACAAAACAGATTAACATAAGGGAAGGGAAGCAAAAATAGTATAAAAACAGGGAGGGAGACAAAACATAAGAGACTTAAATATGGAGAAATATAGGGATGGGATAAATGGGCAGGGGGCATTAAGGAAGACACTTATTGGGATGAGCACTGGGTGTTATATGTAGGGGATGAATCACTGGATTCTACTCCTGAAATCATTATTGTACTATATGCTAACTAACTTGGATGTAAATTAAAAAAAAAAAAGGAAACATATTACCAACCTTAATATTATAGAGATTTTGGGGTGCCTGGCTGGATCAATCAGTAGGTAGAGCATGTGACTCTTGATCTCTGGGTCATGAGTTCAAACCCCATGTTGGACGTGGAGCCTATTTAATTAAAAAACAAAACAAAACAAAAACTTTTTAAAAAAAATTATAGATGTTTTAAGATGATTTTTTTTTGCATTAAAAAATAATGTGACCACATTTTAAATATTTGAGGTATTATAGAAGAGAAAAATAACCAATCACCCATACTCCTACCATAATGTAATTACTATTAGCATTTTGGTTTTTTTCTTGTTTGTGCATTTTCTTAATTTATTTTAACTGACGTGTTTTGATCGTGAATGACTTATAATTATTTTAACAGTTTTCATATCCTACTTTCCCACTTAACATAGTTTCTTTGATTGTTTGCTTTTAAAAATAAGGAAACAGGGCACCTGGGTGGCTCAGTCAGTTAGGCATCCGACTCTTGGTTTCAGTTCAGGTCATGATCTTGCAGTTTGTGTGATTGAGTCCCACATCAGGCTCTGCACTGTCAGCGAGGATTCTCTCTCCCTTTCTCTCTGCCCCTTTACACGTACTCTTTCTCTCTCTCTCAAAATAAATAAATAAACAAAAATAAAGAAATAAGGAAAGAATATTTTTATTTAACCATAAAACCTCATTTTATGAATGATGACTTATTTTTCTATTCTGATCTATTTCATATCTACTGAAATAATGTATAGCAGTATGAGTTAAGAGTCATTAACTATGTATTGACTGCATGGTATTGATATGAAAATCCTTTGTATTTAATAATTTCAATAAATTCCTAATCTTTTCTACTCTTAAAAACTAAGTTAAAAATGAATATGGCTATCAAGAAAATATGGCTTTTCTAAAATAACTACAGTTAGTAGAAACAGGTCAGATAGTATTAAATTTTAACGATTTCTCTCTCTCTTTTTTTAAACAAAGGTCCATTTTAGCTTCTTATCTTCTGAAGGAAAAGCTCAACATCTTGGGCAAGTTGGGATGTCTGCTAAGCTGTGCAGGTTCTGTTGTACTGATTATCCACTCCCCGAAATCTGAGAGTGTGACCACTCAGGCTGAGCTGGAAGAGAAGCTGACTAACCCAGGTAACTCCTTTCTAGCAAAGGTGCCAGAGAGCTTGCCTGTCTCCAGTGTGATCCAGGCCTGGGCTTGGGTTGGCCTACCTATGGTCTGTTTTCACAGACCCTGCGTTTGACTTTGCATATGAGTGGCCATTGCTGTGCCCTACACTTTATAGCATCTCCTGCTCTCCTGCTGCCCCAGGAGTGGGAAGAGGTCTGGTGGTTCTGGACCTTGCATCCCTGCTCCCTGGAGTTCAGTACTGCTTCTGCTTTCTTCCAGACCTCTGGGATCTTGCGCATGGGTGCCTTTATCACCTGGCCCCCTCAACGCGGCCTCATCCCCTCAGGCCTCAATCCCATGAGCACCCACCTCCCACTTACCATGGCCTTCCCATTCCCCTACCTCCTATGACCACCCCCCACACGCCTCCTCCTGTCACCTCTTGCCACCTCCCAGTACTCCCACCCTACCTCCTTTCCTGCATTCCTACTGTCTCTTCTCTTTTGTGTCAGTCCTCCTGGGATCTGCTCTGGACCATGTTCCCCTCAGGACCACTGTTGTGCCCAAGCCTCTACACTTCCCTGTAATGTGAAACTGAGAGCTGAGACCCAATTTGATTTATCTTTGGATTTCCCATAGAGATCTCTGTATAGTTTTTCTACATGTTTTTGACATGACAAATGCTATAAAAAACAACAGTCTACATAATTGTACTGGCCTAAAGTATAGATTCTTCTAAATTACTCCCAGCAGACCATCTTATATTGCTTACCAACAATTTTAGACAGGTGCCAGCACAAAACTGCATCCACACCAATATCCCAAATACAGACATCTCTAAGCCACAAATACCTCACCACTCTTTTATAGCTTTTAATTGGCAGTGAATGACATTGCAGTGGAAATATCTGTAAAATTTCAAAAAGGATTCATAATGAAATTAACCAAGACTGTATTTTCCTGAAATTTTTTATCCCTAAACATTTAGCATTGTTATATTTACTTCCTCCTGTAAAAGCCAAAATATTTCCAAAACTGTGAGAAATGAAAGTACAAAAACATGAAAAAAATCAGAAAAATGGATATGAATATCCTGAAGAATTTACTTTATGTAATTTTCAGAAAAGTATATCCAAAGGCCTTTTACTTTCTGGTAAATGTGGATGATACCAGTATATTCAGGTCTTAACTTTTACAAAAAACATATCTAATTTGAATACTGCCATAATAATTTGGTATGAAAATATGATGGTAGCAAAAAGATTTTTCTTTTTTTTAAATTATAGTTTATTTATTTATTTTGAGAGAGAAAGAGCCACATGCTCAAGCAGGGAGGGGCAGAGAGAGGGGGAGAGAGAGAATCCCAGGCAGGCTCTGCACTGTCAGCACAGATCCCGATGCAGTGCTCAATCTCACTACTGTGAGATGATGACCTGTGCTGAAATCAAGAGTTGGACACTTAGCTGACTGAGCCACCCAGGTGCCCCTAAAAGATTTTTCTTTTTAACATGAATAACGTGTTTTAACCTGGAATATAAAATGATGTTATTCTAGCCACTTATAAATTTTTTTAATGTTTATTTTATTTTTGAGAGACAGAGTGCAAGTAGGGGAGGAACAGAGAGAGGGAGACACAGAGTCTGAAGCAGGCTCCAGGCTCTGAGCTGTCAGCACAGAACCCGTCGTGGGGCTTGAACCCACGGACTGCGAGATCATGACCTGAACTGAAATCAGACGCTTAACTGACTGAGCCACCCAAGTGCCCCTATTCTAGCCACTTATAAATTAAAGAGGTTTCTAAGTTTTTTTTAATGTTTATTTATTTTGAGAGAGAGAGCTCATGTGCTTACATGCTCAGGACAAAGAGAATCTCAAGCAAGCTCCATGCTGCCAGTGCAGAGCCCAATGTGGAGCTTGATCTCACGAATTGTGAGATTATGACCTGAGCTGAAATTAAGAGTTGAATGGTTAACCAACTGGGTCACCTAGGCACCCCAAGAGGCTTCTAAGTTTTTAAATTTTTTTTCTAAAGGTTAAAAAAACATTATGAATTTTTTTGTCAAAGAATTGCCTCAGAAGAAATTTTAAGGTCATCTTCCTGAATCTTCCCTCAGAACAGGGCTCCGTAGTTCTTTTTTCTTCTTACATTTGAGGAAGAGTCACAGCCTGCCTAGTGCATGTCCAGGCTGTTCCTAGCCCTGTCAGGCCCAGCTTCTAACACCTCCTTTATAATCTCAGATTGAATTAGAAATTACAACCTCCTTTTGTACACATAACTTCAAAGCAAATAAAGCCTTAAATGTAATATGAAGGAGAAATAGCCCGATAGTATTTTATAATAAAATAGAATGCTCAGGTACAACTATAGAAGACATACCAATAGACCCTATGCCTTGTGGAGTTGCTGAGAGCCTGGGAGCTGTAAATAAAGACTCATGTGGAGTGTCGTGCTATTAACTCAAACATTCAGGGGATATTGTTGTCAGCAATGGGATGAAGTTCTTAATGAAGTTCTGAAAAATTCAGTGCATATTAAATATATGCAAAAATTACTTTGTTTTATATATATAACTGGGTTCTAGGCTCTGATAATTATAAGTACATTTGTCACTTACAAGTCCAAGGAGACCCTCAGAAGTTGTGAGAAGAATGAGATTTTTGTGTGGTACTGTCTCCACATCTCAGGGCCCCTGGCCTTGGCCCACTATATGTAGCCCTTAAATCACTGCAACAGCCACAACTACCCCACAGCTTTCTCACATGTTCCTGAAGAACCCTCCCACTCTGGCCACATACACAGGACCACATTCTGCCTAGGGTTTGTTGAATTGACTCTAAAGTAAGAAAATTGTCTGTTTTCCAGTGTTTGTGGGCTATTTGTGTATCGTGCTCCTTATGCTGCTACTGCTCATCTTTTGGATTGCACCAGCCCATGGGCCTACCAACATCATGGTCTACATTAGTATCTGCTCTTTGCTGGGGAGTTTCACCGTGCCTTCCACCAAGGGCATCGGGCTGGCAGCCCAAGACATCTTCCACAACAACCCATCCAGTCAACGGGCACTCTGCCTGTGCCTGGTGCTCCTCGCCGTGCTTGGTTGCAGCATCATTGTCCAGTTCAGGTACATCAACAAGGCACTTGAGTGCTTCGACTCCTCTGTGTTCGGGGCCATCTATTACGTCGTATTCACCACCCTCGTCCTGTTAGCCTCGGCCATCCTCTTTCGGGAATGGAGCAACGTGGGCCTGGTGGACTTCTTGGGTATGGCCTGTGGGTTCACTACTGTCTCTGTTGGGATTGTCCTTATACAGGTGTTCAAAGAGTTCAATTTCAACCTTGGGGAGATGAACAAATCTAATATGAAAACAGACTAGGATGCAACAGGGGGGTGGGTGGCTCAAGGAATAGGAAATGGATGTGGTTTCTGGTCCTAATTTGATGTGAAGTAGAAGAGACCCTAATCACTGGTATTAAAGTTGCTTGCATATTAATGGGTGGTCTGGTGGACAGTAGGGAGCATCGCTCAGCATCTAAGTAGGGGCCCAGCCCTCTGCAGTCTAAAGTTGCTAAATGGTTGTCTGGGCATCATCTCTCTCTGATGAGAGGAATCTCATGTTCATTGCCATTAACCTGGAAGCTTTCATGAATACTATTTCCTTTAACAATATTTTAACATTATTTAATAGAAGATAAAGTTGGGCTCTTTCTGGTTAGTCTTTGCAGGGGAGCAAATATTGTTACTTAGAAGATTACTTTGGAAATGGGGGAAATTGTTGTCTTACAGTCTGACTATACAGTAAATGTGTCTGTAGTTGTGTTATTTTGCATTAAGCATGTATAACATTCAGGTACCTCATCCAAATAAGAAGTATATACATTTAATTGTTTTTAATCTGCTAATGAGCTGACTCTCCCACCTCCTACTCCAAGACATTTTAATTGAACATAGAGAGAGAATGAGTGGACATGATGCAGAGTTCCATTTATAGGATGACTTTCAATAGCTCAAATCAATTTCAGTGCCTTTATCACTTGAACTCTTCACTTAATTTGACTATTACTATGTGTATGTTCTCTTAGAATAACTCTTTGATTATACTTTAATATTTCACTATTCAAAATATAAATGTATAGAGCAGTTAGAAATAACAGTATATTCATTTGTTGGAAGAAAGTCACAGTGAAAGACACATAAGAGCAAATTGACCTTTTTAGCATGTATTTATTGTCCAATTAAAGACAGTTGACTTAAGTAGCATAAGGTATTTTATTTGTATTTAATCTATGTAACTGGGACCCAGTATCAAATATATCCACATTCTCTTTCAGTGACCATTGTGGCCATTCCAAAGAAATAAATTATTCAACTTGATAATAAGGTTGTTAGATGAGAGAGTAACTGTTCAATAGCACATATATCAGGTTCCCTATAATACAGGAACAGGTTAAAAGACACAGTCAAGCTCAGGCACGTTTCTGAAAATTGGAACATACAAAGTAAGTTTTCAAAAGAATTTCTACTAAAATGAAAACAATTAATTTAGCCATCTCCCTGTTGTTTGAGATGGCAGAGCACCCTACAATTCCTCACCCAACCTCTCATTAATCTTCTGAAATGCAAAATAGCCACTAAATATGCCAATATTTGGATCAAAGAGATCATTTGTCTGTTTATAGTAACCTCCTATGTATAGTAAGTGGGAGCAAAGCACAAAGTGATGCAAGTTGTTTCATCAAGATATCATGTACTTCATATGCAATGTTTTATCTAATAGGGAACTGTGCCAAGTTGGAAAATGGGATTGGGTAAGGCAGAATTAGTGAACTAGAATATCACATTTAATAATACCCAATTAAAGTTACTCACTAAGGAAAAAAATATTTTTTCAGGCAAAAAGAGCATTTCTAAATAGCAAAGAAATTGTTCCCTAAAGTGTGGGGAGGCTAAATAAAAGGCTAAATAAAAGAGGCTAAATAAAATGAGGATAGTTTAACATACAGTGAAGAACACCTTTATGAATTAAAAGTACATGTGATGGCATGAGTTGTCAGTGATTAGTGAACTAAGAGCAGCAACAAAATTGTTTAAAAAATTTTTAATCTTACATTAACTGACAGTTAATAAATACTCAAAAAGTCCCTCACTTTTTTTTTATCAGCTCCTAAAGATTTGGTTTTTTTTATTATCAGGTATTTTTAGGAATGCAAGCCTTAATTTATTGAACTGAACTTTCTGAAAATATCATGTAGCAGTGTCAGTATAATAGTTTCCTACATAAGGAGTTTGAGACATTAAAAGAATACATGTGGTGAACAAAAGTATACTGAGAAAGTTCATGTGTCTTAAGGAAATTATCTTGTTTATTTTGTTACAGCTTACAGTTGAAGCTTAGTTTAAATTCATCTATTAGTGTTCCTCATTATATTTTAGTTCACGGTTACACCATGGATACTCAGCAGTGGTATTTTCTGGATGATCATCCCTGTTTTGTTTTGTTTTGTTTATAGCAAAACAAAATCTGAAAGTAGTAATAGCTGATTTCCTCTTAAGGATGACTTGTTCTGGAACAGTTGGACTCTCCCAGGTTTAGCAGATTATTTTGGTGGGATGCACAGCTTTCCTTCCAGTGGGACAAAGTTCTTAGGATTGTATTTCAAGTGTGTGACTCTAGCCTCAAATGGACATGACCAGCAGTCTAAAGAGCCCAATTTTCAAGTTTGACATAGAGCATATAACTTCTGATTTAATAATATATATGTATTTTTTATACATTCATGTTTTCATAATTCATTTGGAATTGCAAAGAAAAAAAAGGCCTCAAAGTGAGAGTTTGGGAGGAGCTAGAATGGGAATGGGTCTCATTGGTCTCTCCAAAAGTAAATACATATGAAACATTTTCATGATTATACTATTCCTTGGGCTTTATCTCTGATAAACTAAGAAGAAATTTACCTACCGCCTACTTGTTTTCAAGCCTCTCTAAAATCTTATATTTCTGATCACAATTTGCAAATTTACTCTGGATACTTAAATAAGCTGTTTCTCTCCTCTACTACTTGGACAATGCTTTGTTTTTTCATCTGAATGTTTGCATTTGAAAAGATTGCTTTCTGTTTTGCTAATTGATCAAGTGTAGGGCCTATTAAGGATTCTGAGACCACCCTGGGCATTTTGTTCTTCTAGAGGACTATTCCATCTCTGTAGAGAAGGTCCTCGAGAGGAAGGGCGGTCTGCTTCTTGCCACACATGGAATAAGAACTGCTCATAACTCGTTCTTCAGTCAGATGTCACTATAGTATTTTCACATTAGAATGTTAGTGAAATACACTTTGCTGCTCTTGGTTCAGCAATAAGAAATATTCTTTCAATTCCTACTTTTCAAGCCAGTTTGTTATACTCAATATTATTTCCAGAAGTTCATTCCAGCTGTAGTAGGTTGGTCTTTGTTCTTTTTCTTTGGGTTTCATGTCTGTCAGAACACTATTAACATGTACAGTCACCCCTCATCTTCCTTCTTCCTTGACAGCTTCACTCTTTGTAAATACTGTGCTCACTTCTAGAAGCTAGTTCCTAGACATTTGTAAAGCACTGATATGCAGTGTCTTCCAGGTGTAGACAAGCACTTTGGTCCATGGAGACCAAAGGTATTGATGGCTGCATAGTTCTTATTGGGAGATGGTACCTCTCTTTTCCAAGCTGCTCAACTAATCTAGAATAGTGGAGAAAGTGCTCCAATTGTCTACAGAGCCATGGCCATTGCTCTTTTTTGATGCCTACGTGATCCTGACTTAGACCTCTTATGACCGAGTAGGAAACTGGAAAGAGAAAAATGCTTCAATTTAGATCTGTTCATGACTGTCTGATTGGTTCCAGTGGTCTGAAGGAGTTATCCTTCTCACTGTGTTTGAAACCAAGGAAGTAGTTCACCCATCAAGCAGGATTAGATGGAATCTTGGTGTTCCGCCTTCTCAGGGACCAAAAATGTAACATTAACAACTTAGTATTGACCTTCTTCCCAAGGACATGTCCATGTTAGTTTTTCATATGTTTTACTCATAGTCATAGCTAGAAGCCTGTTAACTTGAGTTGGAAAGAGAAAAGATCAAGTTGCACACCAGTCACACCATAAAACAGTTTATCATATAAAATACCTCAATTTTCTGTATTCCTCACTTCCACCTCACAGTTGTACTGGTGATGAATTTTAAGGGTCTGTCCTTTAGTTTATTGGTGATTTTTCACATCTGGCCAGATTCTTATACCTCCATCATATACTTGAAAAGATTAAGAATTATAGGAATGAGAATGAGAATTTGGCTCAGTATCACTACTTGTTTATTTTCATATACATTTCTCACATGCTGTGAAATGCAACAAGAGAATTATATTTTAAGAAATGTAACTTTATGTTACATCAAAAATTATTGTGTAGTAAAAAGTTGATACTCAGTAGAACAATGATCATGTAAATAAATCTATTTCAGATGTACCCAATGTGATAAAAAGCATTGTCTAGGACCCCAGAGCATGAGCCAGGGAGAAAGATTTATTTGTTCTTTTCTCTATTTTTCCTTGAATTGTGCAACTATAGGTGAGTCACTTAACCTTTCTGTGCCTCAGTTTCTCTACCTCTAAAGGGGTGAGATGGTTCTCCAAATCACCTGTTTTAGAGCACTCACACTTTTAGCGTGTGCTGGTAGCCTCAGACAAGAGTGTTATGTGTAGGATTGCTCTGGAGTGGTGAAGTGGAAACTCAGCTTGCACTGGGCATCCTGTATGCTCAGGACTGTGCTTTAGACATGCAGCTTCAAGCACTGAGTAAGCAAAGGAAGTGCTGGGTGTAAAGTTTGCACGATTCCATGAAGCTTTAATTTTTCTTTTTTCTTTTTTTTTTTTTTTTAAGGAAGGCTTTTATATATTCTATTATAAAACGTGAAGGTTAAACAGGGACTTTTAAAACCTGCACTGAAAGATCACATTCTGATGATGTGATAAGATTTTCTGACATTCTGCATATGTTTATGTTCTGCAGAAGATTCAATGACCTGTGAACCAGATTGATTCTGTTGTGTTAAATTTGTTAGGAATGATGCTGAACTTCCTGCTTCCAAGCAGCTCAACCCTGACCATGAATTACCTGACACCAGGTAAATGTCAGGAGTTCCCAAACCACTAGTGCCAAAAGGTCACGTTGAAAAGTTTCTTTTCTTTGTCAGAATGTACTAATTCCCTCCCCCCACCTCTATGTCAGTGTTTTTGCACTTTGGAATAATTTAAAGGTACTGTTTTCCAGTAGCATTCCTGAGTGTTGTTACCTTTTTAAATGACAACTATTACTTTCTTGTAAAATGGAATATAATCGTGAAAGAGAAG